GGCACTCACCCACGAGGGCCAGGATGACGGTCAGCAGCGGCGCAGCGGGGAAGGCGATGGCCATGTTCATCTCCAGCATCTGCAGCAGGTCCACTGCGGGCAGAGGGCGGCGGGCGGGCAGACGGGGGTGGGCGGGGGCCGCAGGGCCTGGGGCCGGGCCCCCTCCGCCCAGCCGGGACACTCACCGATGAAGACGAAGATCTGGTGGTGGGAGTAGCGCAGCAGCATGGACACGCTCAGGGTCTGCAAGGGCGCCGCATGAGGCCTGGGGGCCGGGGAGGGGCCGCCGCGCCCCGCCCCCCAGCCCCAGCCCGGGCCCGCGCACTCACGAAGATGACCATGATGACGAAGGCGGCCAGGTAGGACGTGCGGGCCATCCACATGCTCACGAAGCGGTAGTGTTCGCCCGACACCACGTTCCGCAGGAAGCCTGCAGGGGCGCGGGGGCGCGTCAGCCCGAGCCCCGGCCCGCGCCCCCGCCCCGCCCGGTCCCCGCCGCCGCCGCACCCTTGTTCTCCTCGTTCTCGGCCAGGCCCTTCACACTGGACATGAGGATGTCGTCGTAGCCCAGGAACTCGGCCAGCAGCAGGCGGCTGAAGCGGTCCCCGAAGCACTGGTCCCGCGTGGGGTCTGCGAGGGCCGGGACGGGGTGTGCGGCTGGCCAGGGCCCCCGGGGGAGCCCAGACCCTCGTTTCTGAGAGTGGGCCCCCCCCACGCAGCAGTGCGTGACCCTGAATGGCTAGGGGATGAGACCTCGGGAGGGGCTCCCGCAGCCGCAGAGCGCGTGTCCCTCCCTGGGACGGACCAGACCCTGGACTCTAGTGCTTCCGGGTCTCCCACTGGGGCCACTCCCCGGAGACCCGACCGCCCGGGGCTGCCCCAGGCGGGGGCAGGCCGACTCACCCAGCGTGACCACCATCACGGGGATGCTGAGCCGCTGCCGCGTGGCCTGTGAGAGCCGCAGGAAGCCGTACTCCAGGGAGTACTCCACGATGTACTCGTCCTGCGGCCACGCTGCGGGCGGGATAGCCGCTCAGCCCCGGCCCCGCCCAGTCCCGGCCTGCAGGGGCCCGGGACGGCTGGTCAGCCCCCCACGGGACTTTCAGGGCACAGGGCCAGGGCTGGGCAGCTCCCCGAGAACGCGTGGCTCCGAGCTGCAGGGCCCGACCCCCCCTTCACAGAGGAGGGTCCCAGGGCAGGGGAGCCAGGGCCTCACGTCTTGCTGACAGATGGAGAAGCTAAGACAGAGTAGCCATCCTCCCGGCCAGTGCTGACCTGGCTGCGGGGACTCTCAGTCCCACTGGCCAGGCAGTGACCCAGGTAGTGCCCCTGAGTTGACCTCGCCCGCACGCCTCAGCAGCCGCGCCAGGATGTGGCTGGGGTGGCGCGTACCTTTAGAGGGCGTCTCCGGGAAGGGGAACTCCTGGCTGTCGTTCACGGCCTCGGCGCCGCCCGGCGGCTTCAACACCTTGGGCTCAATGTCCAGCTCAAACTGCGGGTGCCGGGAGGCGGGGCGTCAGCAGGCTGTGGCACCAAGGGGTCACGCCTGGAGGCCACTCTCTCCCGCCCCTGGCCGCCTCTGCCAGACGTCGTCCACCTCCTGAGCTGGAAAGTCTCTAACTCGTGTCCCATCAAAGACCCCAGGCCGAGACCCCCCAAACACCAAGCTCCCTTGAGCAGCCATCTCCAGGCAAGGGTCTGCGCCCTGGAGCAGGGCGGTCTCGGGCCGGGGCACAGGGCTGCCTGGCGAGGTCTGCACCAACACCCCAACTGCCCAGCCCTCACCATGGGACCCCAGCTCTGACCATCCAGGCACGTCCCTCCTCCAGGCTGGGGGCCTCACACGCCCGCCCGACCCCGCCAGTGCCTGCCATCACCCACATGCCTCACGCTCAGCACCCCTTCGGCAGCTGCGCCATCTAAGGCCGACAGGACCCGCTTAGAGCCCTCGGCCCAGAGCCTCTGGGGCTCCAGAACCAAGCCAGTCCCTTTCAGGAGACAGGCAGGAAACGCCCCAGCCCTGAGTCGCCGGCACTGCCCTGTGCGCCCCAGGCCCTGCCGCACCCCAAGGTTACTCCAGGGGAGCAGCCAGGCGTGGGCGAGCCGGCTGTGACCTCCCACACGCTGTTTACGGAGCGCCTCCGTGCCCGCCCGGCTGGCTCACCCTGACGGAGCTGTTGGTGAACATCTCCATGCTCAGCTCCTCCTCCTCGTCCTCGGGCTCCGAGGCCGCGCCACCACCGTCGCAGAACTGCAACAGCACGGGCGCGCGGCTGGAGTTGGGCTGCACCTCCACGCGCAGGATGCCCTCCCGCGGCCAGCGGTCCCGCACGTGCTCCAGGCAGTTGATGGGCGAGCGCGAGAAGACAATGTGGATGTAGGCCAGCACGAAGAGCACGAACAGCGCCTGCGGGGTGGCGTCGTCAGCGAGGCTTGGGGAATCCCTGTGACTACCTGGGAGCGTGTGGGAACCCACCCAACAGGAGACCTGGCAGAGCCCGAGGCGCCATTCGCCAAGTGCTCCCCTCCCGCGTGCTGTCCTCACGGCACCCCTGACCTCGCCAGCTAGACACAGCCAGCCCTCAGGGGCTGGGCCACAGGCCCCACAGCAGGGCCAGCTCGCTCTGCCGCTCTGAGGCTGGTGTCCCCATCTGTAAAACGGGGACAGCAGCCGTTCCCACCAGGCAGTCCTGCCCCAGGGGACACTGGGCCATGTCTGGGGACATCTGTGGTTGTCACACTGGGGGTGCTCCTGGCATTGAGTGGGGGGGGGCCAGGGATGCTGCTCAACCCCCCACAGTGCCCAGGACGGCCCCCCACAGAGAGTGACCTGGCCTGCGTCAGCTGTGCCGGGGGAGACGCTTCCCTGCATCACCCATGACAGCACCTCCCACCCGGCTCCCAGCAGGCGCATCAGAAGGCCACCCCCTCCCTGGAGCCCACCTCACCGGCAGACAGTTTTGCTTCTCATGGGGCCCCAGCTGGCCGAGTGTCACCCTCCCAGCCCAGGACATCACTCCCTCGTGACCCACCCACTGCCTCACCCCTTTGGGAAAGGGCCCAGCTTGCCTGAGGGCGCCTGCTGTCACCCCAGGAAAGGGGTGTCGGAGCCAGTGACCTCAGGAACTGCTCAGAGACGGGGTGACCCCTCGCTGGGCCAGCGCAGCCTCTGACACGACCCCACCAGGGACACACCCTCAGACCAAATTCCAGGAGAGCTGACCATGGTTCAAAACCACGGGGCAGAGGAGCCCAGAAGACAGAGGATCCAGAGCACAAAGCCCCTCCCCGCCCTGCGGGGTGTGGTGAACTGCCCGGGGCCACATGGCCACCAGCAGGCCCTCCAGAACCTCATCCCTTCCACACCCTGGCACGAACCCCATAGGGCAGTGCCAGCGCCAGACGTGGACCCCCGGCACCCCCCGTGGAGCCCACCCTGCAGACCTGGCAAAGGCTGGGCCAGCACAGCACCCGCTCCCGTCCTGACCACGGTGACTGTGACCTGAGGGGGACAGAGAGCCCCAGGACAGGGAGAGGCCCCCATCTGGGCGCCCTGCTGCAGTCCTGGATCCAGCGACTCCTGAAGCTGGGGCGAGCCCACCCAGACTCCCCGCTGTGTTAGCTCCCAAGTCTCCTTCCCTTGCACCACTGTGAGCCGACGGCGCCCAGGGGACGGGGACAACAACACTGCTGAGACAGGACCAGAGACGGCCCAGCCCCCGAGCCCCAGGAGTTCAGGTCGAGGGACGGATGCCGAAGCCAAGACCAGAGCCGGGACCTCGGTCTGGGGAGGCGGCGTGGAAGGAAGGCTTGCGAGGGCACCCCCGGTGGCAGAGCCTCCCACAGGCCAAGCTGTGCAGGACCCTGAGGTGTGGCCACAGGGTCAGTGCTCCTGGGGACCCCAGAGCTCGTGACAGGGGTCACGAGAGCGAGGGATGCGCGGCAGTAGCCGGATGTGGTCAGAAAGCAGATCCCCAGTCCCTCGGCTCAGCCCCGCCACGCTCTGCAGGCCCACTGTCCAGCGGGAGCTGTGCCCAGGACACCGTCCACTCGGGGCCAGGCGGACAGCACCGCACGACATGCCAGCACACCACAGAAGTGCTGACACGCTGTGTGGCCACTGCCAGCGGCTGCCCAAGCACCGCCCCAGGGACGCTTGCGTCCGCCATGGCCCCAGTGCACAGACGAGGTGCACACAGGGAACTGGGCAGAGAGGCCACACGGCCAGGAGAGGAGGGCCAGGAGCTGAACCCGGAAGACACGCCGGGCAGGGGCGGCGGGGTCCCGAGGGAGAACGGCAGGTGTGACTGACCGGTCCCGCCAAGGGAGGACACATGAAGCAGGCCCAACCGCACCAACATGCACAACCCGGCTGAGATGGATGGAGTGGGCGGGTCCCTGGAGGCAGGGCCAGGAGTTTCTCCCCCCACCTGACCAGGCCCGCCCCCAGTCTGAGCCTCAGTTTCCCCATTATGGAACAAACAGGCAGACGAGGCTTCAGTCCCCTCCAGACCTGTCAACAGCCAAACGGGGCAGTGCTCCCCCCCCCAAGGCGAGGCAGCACCCAGCAGCCCTGCCCACTTCCTTCTGGGGCCTTCCACCCGCTGCCCAGCAGCCTGCCCCACTCACTCCTCAGGTTTGGGGTGATCTAGCCCCCAACCTCTGCCACTCTGTGGGACCTGCGCTGTCACCTCCCTGGCCACGCTGGCCTTGCTGTTCTCCAGCCCCAGGGCCTTTGCACATGCTGTTCCTGCTACCCCCCCCTCACACAGGCCACCCCCCATGCCCGGTCTGTCCCTTCCCCCTCATCTGCCCCCTCACTGCTGGGGCCCAGAGCCCCGCCTGAGGCGGCACAGAGGACGTGTGCAGGGACCCTGGGGGCTGCACACACGTCCGGTCCTTAATCCTCACAGTGACCCTGAGGGGCCTGTCACCTCCATTCTTCAGAGGAAGCAAGTGGCAAGGGCACGTGTCAGTGCCCCTCCCCCTGCGGGCATCACCTGGGTGGCTGCAGAGTCAGGATGCCCTCAGTCCAGAGTCCAACCTGATGGGCCCAAGTACCCCATGCTAGCTGCTCAGGACTCTGTGCCAGGAGAACCAGCAGAGGTGGCAGCCGAGGCGGGGGGGGGAGGTCTTCTAAGGGCCCTGAACACGGGCCCTGCCGCCTCTCGCTCCCCAGCAGCTGGCACGGGACACGGGTCCCCCACGACCCCAAGGCACGGCGGGGAGACGGGGGGTCTGACGGGTCGCAGCCGTGAGCTCAGCGGAACAGGCGCCACAGGAAGAGGCCAGCGAGAGGAAGTCCGAGAGGGGACCTCGGTCTCCGCAGCAAGAGCACCGGAAGCCGGGCGGGCAGGAAGCAAAGGAGCTGAGCTTTCCACAACCTGAGGCAACTCAGAACCAGTGGTCCACCCTCACTGTGTAGACGAGGGAACCGGGGAGATTCACAAGGAATGAGGGGCCCTCGCTGTGTAGACGAGGGAACCGGGGAGATCCATGAGGAACGAGGGGCCTCCGGGCTCTGACACAGCAGAGAGGGAGCGTGGGGGCTGAGAGCCTCGGGGGCCACCTGCCCAGGGACCCCCTGGGTGTGGATCCTGTCCGCCAGGTTGGCACAAACACCCATCTGCTCTCAAATCGGGGAGCGGTACACAGAGCTGAGGTGACCAGGACGTGCTCTCAGAGGAGATGGAGGTCCCTGGGGAGGGTGCCACCTGGCACAGAACACACCCCTCAAGTGACAGGGGTCAGCCTGCGGACCCAGTGCTTCCTTCTGTCTGGGGAGGACAGTGCTCGCTGTCCCCGAGGAGGTGACGCCCACACGCAGACTTCTGTTCACTGTCCCCAGTAGCCTGAGTAAGGCACCCCGATCCTGTAACTCTCCACGGCTGCTCACAGTCTCAGGAGGGGACCCAAGCCGTCCTGGGGGCTGTGGGGAGGGAGGGGCGGGAAGGCCACCTGCACGCAGCCTCATAAGGCGGACAGCCCAGGTCAGCCTCGCAGGAGGGACTGGGGGGCTCAGGGGCCTCCCCGAGGTTGCGGTGGGGCCGGGACGCACCCAGGTCTGTTGGGCAGCCCCACTTGCGCTCCTTCCGCCAAACCCCAAACAGCCGCAGGCTCCTGACCGACCCCGCCGGCCGCACCCCCCGCGCCTCGACCGCCAACATCAGCCCTTTCTGCGCCCAGGAGCCCAGCGCCCACTTGGCGGCGTTAGCATCCCACCGTGTCAGGTGACAGCTAGGACCACCCTGTGCTCGGGAACCGAACCTCGGCCCCGCGAGCTCCCTCTCTGGGGTCGCAGCTGCCCCCGAGGGAGACCCTTCGTGGAGGGCCCGGGGCCGCGCTCCCGCTGGAACCCGGAGCCCCCCGGGAGGACCCTGGCTGAGCCGTGAGCCGCCGCGCTGCTGTGACTTCGCCACTAACGCCGGCGAATGTCCTCAGCGAGGTCACACTCCCGGGACACCCGGAGGAGGGACACTCGGGTGGGGCAGTGAAAGGTCCCGAGGAGGGGGCAGCCCCAGGAAAAGGGGGCGGGAGGAGGAGGCGGTGGACCGGGAGCGCCCCCGGGGCAGCTGGTGGGCCGGGGGCGTGTCCGGGGGTGCGGCCGCCCGGGATTGCGGTTCTGGGTCAGGACCGGCCCGGAGAGTGGGGAGCGGGTGCTCGGGGTCACAGGGCAGGAGGAGGCTCCCGGCGGGTCGGGGCCTGGCGAGGCGGGGACCAGGGGTGGGCGCGGCCGGGAGAGAGCTCCTGGGGTCGGGACCAGGGCCACCACGGGGCGACACCAGGGGCTCCCCAGGCGGACGTCTCGGGGCAGGAGTCAGAGGTCGCAGGGTTAAGGGAGGGTCCCCAGGGGCTCGCTGCCCGGGCGTGTGGGGTCAGAGGTCGCAGGCCCGGGGGAGGGCCCGCCGCCGGGGTCAAAGGTCAGGGGTCGGGGCCGCGGTCACCTTGAGCAACACGAAGAACTCGAAGAGGCGGCGGAAGGCGGGCGGGAAGAGCCGCGAGTAGGTGACAGCCATCTTGAAGAAGAGCGCGTGGAAGAGCCGGTCGCGCACGTTGATGAGCGGGTTGGGGTTCAGGTTGGGGGTGCGCGGCCCGCGCGCGGGGGCCGGGCCGCCG